GTACTGCTCCTGAACACCCTTTGGTGACTTTGAGGGGCTGTGCAAAGCAGGGCATGCTGAGCAGCACATTGTCCTGCAGCCCTGCCTTTGTCAGATGCTGTTAAACAGGGGGGAAAGAGAATGGGGGAGCTGGTGAATCTGTCACATCCTGCTTGTTCAGAAGGTTATTGATGCTGCATAATTCATCAAAGCATGACCTAGCAGTGGGTGCTGCTGCCAGAGGTGTCCAGCTATCACTCCTCTTGCAGCTGCCCATAAAGTGGTGCTCCTTGTTTATGAAAATATCTCCTGTCTTTGGGTCTGCCCATGAGCCTTTCAATTAACACCTGAAATGGTCATTTTTGCCTTGGACTCAGGTAAAATGTGAAGGTCCTGCTCAGGGAGAAATGCTACTGTTTTGACATTTCTTTATGTCTTGGGATGGCATTGAAATGGAAATACTGGTATTTTCTGTGTCACAGAAATCCCAGGAAGTTTCACTTAGGAAATATTACAGTGCTTTCTTTCTGACATTGTTTAAACAGTGTTTTATATTATTTTTACATTCCCACAGCTGAAAAATTTTCATTTATTAACCATGAACAAAATATCTGTGACGTTCAGTTTTGAATTATTTCATTACTTCCTGATAGCAATGATTTTGTGATAATGAAGTATTGCTCCAGGGGGAGTTGCAGCTCAGAATCTTGGTGCATTCCCTGTGCCCCTCTCCCATTGCCTGAGGTACATCTCCTGCAGTGCATCGTGCAGCTTGGCCAGGAAGAAGTGTGAGATCTTCCTGCCTGACGTGGTGGTGAAGGAATCTAGGCTGTGTGGTGTGAGAGAGGTTCAGGCCTTGAAGCAACACGTTGCAATGGGAAAATGGAACTTTGTGTTCAAGTTCTCAAGGCAATATTGCAGGTCAGCTAAAAAAAAACCCCACAACATTTATGCCAAGTGTTTATAGATGGAATAGATTGAGTTCCCTGGATAGAAGATTGGAAATAGAGGTGGCTAGAAAATCGTAGGGATCTGCTGCAGTTTGGAAGAGCACTTTCCCCTGCACAAAGTGGGGCTGGGATCCAGAGTGACTAAAATCCCTCTTTGCCATAGAGTCTATCCTAGCTCACTAACACTGCCAGAAACTCTTGGTTAAATATCTCCTGGCAAGCCTGAGAGGGCTTCAGGTCCATGTGTTGATTCACCACCACAGGGTTAGGAGAGACATTTCAAGGAGACATGCTTGAAATGTTTCCTTCCTAAGCCCTGCTGCAGGCTGGTTTTTGGCATTTAGACTTTTTTAAGAGTCCTGAGGCCTAAAAGCAACTGCAAGAGGGAGTCTTCTCTAGCCTAGGGTTATTCAGGTGGTACAGGAGAAAACTCTGCTCATTCCTTCTGAGGACTTTTTGCCTCTTGAGTGGTTTAATGTCAAATGCATACATACTCCAGGGAGAAGGTGGTGTAGCTCCAGTTGCATCTCCAGATGAGCCTAGTTGCTTCCCAGCCTGCTGACCTGAGGTTGCACCTACTTGCAGCTGCTTTGGGGCCAGGAGCCCTGCCAGATAACCTGAGTCTTTATGGCACCTCTCAGGGGCAGTGGCTGCCACCCCCACCCCCCACCTGCACCCCAGTGGAGCAGAGCACTTAACCCATTGCTCCTCACTTCACCCATGGGGGTGTGTGCCACTAGATCATCACTGTTGCCATGCTGTCCCTCTAGCCAGCAGAGGGCTGGGCAGCTCTGGATGCCAAGAGGGTTGTCCTCTGCAGGCACCACTACAGAGTGAGGGGGAGGAAATAAATTAGGGAGGCAAGATGATCCTCTTGAGGGTTTTCAGAGGTGGGAGCCTCTCTCCGTGCACTCAGCAGGGGATGTGTGAGGCAGCTGGCACAGACAGACTTGACAGCACCTATTGCCTTCTGTCAAATTGTCTTCCTGCTG